AGTAAACGAAATACTAAGGAAAATGGATTATAAGACGAAAGACACAAAGAAAAACAAATAAGAAACAAGGTAAATACAATAATAATAAAGATTATACAAATAACAAATACAAATGAATAACAAGAAATGATATACAAAAAAGAATAGAAAGAATAAGAAGTAAATGGGAAAAGGATAATATTCAGAAACACTCAAAAAAAATAAGAAGGTAAAAGAAAAAGATGGTATGATATCCTCCAAGAAGTATATTCAATCAGAAAGAAACAGATAAATGAAAAAAAAAATAAAGAAGAGTTTAAGGAAAGAACAAAAGGATGGAAAGAAGAAGACATTAAAGCAATTGAAGAAAGAATTAAAAACAAAAATCCAAACAAAAAAAAAAAAATGAATGAAAGATGTAAAATCGCAAAAATAATAAATAACAAACAAAGTACAATGAAAACACAAGAAGAAATAGTAAATAAAGAAGGGAAAAAGAGGAAGCAAATGATAAAGATGAAATACTCACACTTCAAAATCAAATTAATGAATTAGAAGAAAAAGTTAAAGAATATAGAATGGAAAGAATGGAAGAAGAACAAACCATCTCAGAAGAAATGATAGAAAAAGCAAAAGAAATAATTAGAAAAGAATTTGAGAAAGAAAATGAAAATATGAAAAAAGAAATTAAGAAGGTACAAACGAATTATAATGAAATGAAGAAAGAAAATGAAAAACTAACAGAAGAAAATATAAAATTACACGGTGCAATAAATGAGATAGAAGGAAGGAAAATCATGGAAATGAATAACAAAGAAGAAACCATTCGAAGTCTAAAATCCACTAAAGGGAAGTTACAGAAGGAAAAGGATGAACAAAAGGAGAAAGCTGAAGAGCTGAAGAAAAAAGGTGAATTACTGGAGAAGAAGAATAGTGTGTTAGAGAAAAAAGTGGAAGTACTTGAGAAGAAAGTTGAGGAGCTGAAAAGTGAAATAAGAGATAAAGAAAAATAAAGCTCTGAATATCAAGAAATTGCAATTAAAAACCAAGAAATTGCAGAAATAACAAGAGAAGAATTAGATAACACACAAAAAGAAAATGAGACACAAAAACAAATAATATCAAAACAACAAGATGATATTGAAAATTTTATCTCACAGAAGGAAATAGAGAAGAAGAAAATGATGACACTTGTGATAAATGCACAACCAGTAATGAGGAAAGCGTCATCAGGAACGATGAAGATGAACGAAACTACTCCTATAAAAAGACAGTAGTGGAAATAGAAGAGAAAAGCATGATTGTCAAAAAAAAAAACTAGAGATGATAATCAGACAAGAAATACAACAAAACAAAGAAATCAAATTTTAATTGAAGTGTTGTATTGTTTTGAAATTAATTGGTTAAATAAGAAATTATATAAGAAATTAAGATGGGAACAAATAGAAAGTATAATAAAAATAATAAACATCAATGTCAATAATGAAAAAGAATATATTAAATATATTAAAATGTCACATAAAATAAAAGAAAGCACTAAACGGTACATTAAAGTGAAAGTAAATGATATAATAGAAAGAAGAGTAGAGTGTAATTCAATAATAAAAAACATCATATTAAAGAATAACTCTACTGAAATTGATGAAGAATATCTTAACACTCTCATCAATAAAATAAAAGAAATGAAAGTAGAAAAATGTTCAAACATTAATTACTACTGGAAAAGAAAAGAAGCTGACCGATTAATAATGGAAATTAATAATAGATGGATATGGTTATGAAGCAGAATGCAGGAAGTGGAAGATGATATGAAGAGGATTTCAATGGTTATGCACCTCTATCTCCAAAATAAAATAATAGGAGACAAATTTGATGAAATAAAAGAAATCCTAAAGAAAATCAATAGACTAGAAGATTTGGTCAAGGGAAGGAAATGGTACAGAATCAAGTGCATCATGAAATTAAAAGAAAATAATGAAGAAGGAATAAAAGTTAAAGCACTAGAAAGAATAAAGTACATAAAATATATGATGACAATGATCAAAGAAAGAATTAAATTTAATAAAGATGAAATAATCAGAATCAATACAAATAAAATAATGTTTGATTCTAATAAGAAAATTAGAATATGGAAGAAACAAAAAATGAAATATACCCAAATAACGATATTACTTTAGAATATTGGAAATCGTTATATGAAACACAGGTGATATTAAATAAAGAAAATTGGAAAATAAAACAAATCACCTCGTGGAATGAAAGATATTTCAATTATGATAATGTCATAATAACAATAAATGAATTAAATTTAAGTTTAATGAAAATAAATAACTGGAAAGCACCAGGAATAGACACTATATATGGGTATTATTTGAAAAGAATGTCATCATTAAGAGAACCATTCTCAATATCTTCAATGAATGGTTAAACTTCCCTGAAAACATCCCATTAGACATGATAAGTGGAAGAACTTTATTAATCCACAAAGGAGGTGATAGGAACGACGTCACTAATTATCGTCCTATCAGTTGTACAAATGTAATTATGAAAGTATTTACATCAATATTAAAAGAAAAGATTCACAGAAGACTTAACATGAATTGTGAATCATTTAAAATAAGTAGTAAGCAACTGGGATGTAAGTTACAATCTTTAGCTGCTAAAGAAGGAATAATTAATAGTTATATGTTAAAGCAGCAGAAAGAAGAAAAATACCCAAAATATGATGAGTCATATTATGACATTAAGAAAACATATGACACTGTCAACCACGAATGTGTAATTGAATCATTAAAATATTTTAATGTAGAGAGTGTCATCATTGACATAATTGAAAGTATGATGACTAGATTGAAGATATTCATCGGTTATAAATTTAATGAATATCTATGATATATTAAATTAAATAGAGGAATTTTACAAGGTGATTCCTTATCAAATCTACTCTTCATCATACAGATGAATGTAATTTCTCAAATCATCGAAGAGAAATTCCCAAAATCAAATCACACATTATATATAGATGATTTGAGAATAATGACAGAAAGTAGTGAAGAAATGGGAATAATCTACAACGAAATTGATGATAAATACATCAAAAAATGGAAGTGTCATCAAATTAGTGGATATTTTAGAAGATGGTTTGAGTCAAAATGAGTAGATAAAACTACTACAGTGAAAGCATGGAAGTCCATCAATATTAAGAAAAATCAATTTCTCCAATTAACTAAAATGCAAGATGGTGCAATATTTTGTGGGTATAGAAAATCAAAGATAATGAAAAATGAAAGATTGAAATACTGCCCACTTTGTAAAGACAAGATTACAACAGTAGAACACATTCTACTATCTTGTATTTATCATAAAAAATCACAAATGGAGAAACATGACAATATAGGCATTATAATATTGATTGATAAGAAAATATACAATAAATAATCAATATAAAAAACCCCCATATGAAACAGTGTTCAAATATAAAGACATCACAATGATATTGAACAAACAAATAATGCCTAAAAGTGATGGACAATACCACAAAATACCAGATATATACGTATTAGATAAAAAGAACAAAAATAATCTATTATTTGATATGACTAATGTTGAATATCACAATATTAATTGAGAATATTGGAAGAAAAGAAATAAGTATAAGGAATTAAAGAATAGGCTAATGAAAATAGAAAAATTAAAAGATGTCAGAATAATACCAGTAATAATCTCAATAAATGGATTAGTAAATAAAGAAAGTATCAGACTAATCAAAGAATTAAAAATTGAAATTGACATTGTTAAAGAAGTAAAAAACCTTGTCATAAAAAACATGATGGATGTCATGGAATATTGCTTCAATCACAACCAAACATACTCCGTAGAGCTGCTAGAAGAAGACTCATTGAGATTAGTCTCCCCTGAGCCAGGAAGAATAGAATCTAATTCTATTAATACTTAATTAATTACTTATTATTTAATTAAAAAAGTTTTTAAGCAAATTTGTATGACACGTAACATAACTATTACTTTATCATTTACACTACCTTATTTTCTATTATTTTTATATATAGTGTCTTGGATTATGGAGATTAGTTATTTCCTATATTTCATAAAGGATTTCACACAACCATTTAAAGCAAATTCTACTATTTTTATATTATCTTCATAGAACATATTCTTTTATTGAAAATTATTATCTAGTTTTAGAATAAATTAAAACGAATAAGGTGTTGGTACTATTCAGACTTTCGTTGAACCAATTTTCATAACAAGAGTTTGTACGTTTTAGAAAAGAAGAGTGTGACAAAGACAAAAATCCGAGAAAAAAAACAAATAATTGAATGGAAGAGACTTTAGTGCTACGTTGTTGAGCTGAAACTATACAAAAGGTTTTTTGAAAATATAAAGAAGGAAGAGATGAAGAATAGGAAAAATAGGAAAAGATAAAACAGAGAATAACCTGAAAAATAAATGATTTACAAAAAGTAAGTTGAAGAGATACAATGATACCAATACAAAACAGAAGAAATAAGAAAAGACAAGAATAATATTGCAGAGAGAAAAAAGATAGAAATGAAGAAAGAGTAAATTAGTAGTTTATTACAAACTATTTAAACTCTATTGAAAAAAAAAATAATTTAAAATAAGACAAATAAATCTAAGAAATAATTAGGTGAAACGGTAAAATAAAAACAACATTGAAACTAATTTGAGACGAATATTGGCTATATTAAGGAAGTACTATGAAATCCTCAAGTTATGTACAGACAAAGGTATTGTTAAGAATAGGAAACTAAAAATAGAAGAAACAATATTTCAAAGAAAGCTGAAATAAAATAAAAATAGATAAACATTAAATAATAAACAAACTAAATATCTACATTTTGTTTATCAACTAAACAAGAGCAGAGTTGTTTATTTGATAAACAAAATATAAGAATGGTGAATGTAGATAATAAATAATAGAAGACTAGAATAAATGAAGAAGAGAAAGAATAACAAAAAATAATAAAAAAACATAAATTTTAATGCGGTAGATTTTTAGAAACTTTTTGTAGTACTTTCTTAATTTGAGAACAACAAGGTCTTTTCGAAGGGTCTTCTAACCAACACATTTCAATTAATTCTTTTAAAGAATTATCAATAAGAATATTTGGTTTAAATTGTGGTCTTTCTCCTGCTCGAATTTTATTTGCAATTTCAGACATAAACTTACAACCAACAAAAGGCTTTTCTCTAGTAATCATTTCCCATAAAATAATTCCATAAGCATAAATATCTGATGCTGTAAGAAAATGATGAGTATTAAGTACTTCTGGTGGAAGCCATAACGGATTTTCAACCATACAATGTTCATTTTCATCATAAGGACCAGAAAGTCCAAAGTCACTAAGTACAGCAATTAATTGATGTTGTTGATTAAATTTGAGAAGAACGTTAGGACTTTTAACATCTCGATGAATAATATTTCTTGAATGTAGAACGTCTAACGCATTATTAATATTTTTAGCAAATCTTAAAACCATAGTCATTGGTAATTCATTACTTTTAATTCCAATATAGTTTTGTAATGTGCCTTCTCCCATATAATCAACAAGTATTCCTAAAGGCTCTAAACAAATTCCATGTAGTTGTAGAATATATTTAGTATGTCTAATAGAACTTCCTCTTGTTAATTTTAATACCTCTAATTCTTTCATCATTTCTTCAACTTTTAAAGCAACAAGATGTGCAGTTGATCCTAATCCAATTTTTAATGATACTTTATCATAATTATTAAATGTATACATTTTAAATGCCATTTCTTCTTTATGACTAACTATGACTCTATTAACTTTAGCACTTCCTCCAAACCCTTTCATTTCTTTAATATCCATATCTTTAGATTCAAATAAAGGTACAATAGAACTATTTTCCATTTCATTTAAAAGAATATCCAATGCACAAGTCCCAATCATAACTGAGTGTTGTTTATTGAATAATATTTCTGTTTTTCCTTCTTTCCTTGCTTCTTTAATTTCTTTGACAGGAACCACATCAATTTTCTTTTCATCTTTTAAAATACATTCAGTACATCCAACATATTCTTCCAAAGTATTATTTGATGCTACAGCAATAGTGTTGATAGCCTTTTTTATTGATTGCATTATATCAGCAGATATCTTAACTTGACTAACAGAGCTTGTATTATATCTAATACTGATACTAATTCTTCCATCACAATATTGTATTTTAATTAAAAAGGTAGTTGAATATCGTTCATCTTTTAATATTGTTGCATCGTTATATATTTTATCATATAACTCCATTCCAATAAGAAGTAAATACCCAATTAATTGCATATACATTAAATAGCATGGCTTACCTAAAACAAATTCTCTCATAATTTCCATTTCATTTTTTGAATGTAAAGGCCATGCATTTTCTTTCATTTTAATAATTGATGGATGTAGTACAACTGGAAAAATATCTTTTTTTGATGCCAATCGTTCTCCTCCTTCATCAGGAGATAAAGATTCACTTCTTCTTTTACTTAAAGATCCTGTTTCTGCTAATGAACACCTTTTGTTAGTTCCTGATGCTCCAACTTTCCAATTTAATTTATTCCTTTTAGGCTGTTCAACAGGGATTTTTAATTTTTCAATAACTTTCTCTGATTCAGCAGTAATTCCCATTTCATTAATCCAATTAGGATAAATCATAAACAATGCATTATGTGTTTGCAATATTCTACAAATATTAATAATATCGTCACTCGTCATTTTATTTAATCTTTCAAAATACTCTCTTAATGGTCTGAAACTAGATAACTCTTTTTCCACAAGGTTCTTCTTTTTATCAAATACTTGTCTTAAAATATATCTTCCTTTTGGACAAGACTCTGAACCTTTTTTAACACATTCACTAATTCCTTCTTCAGTCTTCTTTAAATCAAAAATTACTCCAATATTACTTAGTTCATCTAATGTTGTTTGGTCACAATTGCTGTTATAAAACTTAACCAATTGAATCATTTGTTTAGTGGTCAATGTAACTTCTTCATATTGGGTTTGGTATAATTCCATTCCAATACGTCTAATTTCTTTTTTATAATTAAGTTCTGAATTAATAGAACTAACTAATTTATCAACCATTGAAGGTCCAGCATCTATAATTTCTACGTCACTACCAATAGTCCCACTTCTCTTACACTTTCTTTTCTTTAATAAACAACACATTTTTTTCTCTCCAATGAAATAGTATTTCTTTTCATTTGACAATATATGATGAGTTATTAATCCAGCTTGGTCTTTTACTTCTTGATGAATAATATACAAATCATCATTAGCCATACCGTATGGAATAACAGTTTTTTCTACATCAACAAAATTTAATATCAACTGTGGTTTTGTTGAATTAGCACTTATTTCTGAGACAAATTCAAAATTACTTTTCTTATTCATTTTAATCATTTTCTTAAATATTGAATAAAACCCTTTTGTACAAAATACATGAACATAACATGGATATGACATTGGAATACTATTAGGAATTGGTTTTAAAGTGATTTTACTTGTTAATGGATTATTATCAATAAGTAATGTCTTTAAATTTTTTAACATTGATAATTGACTAGATAAAGTTGATATTTGATTGTTTGATAAATTAAGACTCTCTAATGTAATGCAGTTATAAAACGCTTGTGGTAATCGTTCAATTTTATCACAAGATAAATCAAGGTATCGAAGTTTAATTGAAAATAGTTGTTGTGGAAATGTTGAAGTAGTTCTGTTCCTACAAATAAAAGTTCTTAATGAGGATACTTCAGCTAAAGCATTTAACTTTAATTGTCTGTTATCACTGATATCTAATTTTTCTAAACATTTTAATTTAGATAAATCAGGAAGTGTTTGAAGACTTTGTTTTGCAATGAATGTACGTAAAGAGCAAGGTAATTCAAGATATATTGATTCACCTGATGCTTTACAATGATTAGAAATATCAAGATATTCTAATTTAGTAAGAAATGAAAATGAAGGAAATTTGATTAATTCAGAATTAATAGCTGATGTTTCAGAGATATCTAATGATGTTAAATTAGTTAATTGAGAGAAACAATTATAAGGAATATAATATATAGAACAAGTTGATATATTTAAATCTTTTAATTGTGATAATTCAGTAATTTGTGAAGGAATTGTAATAAGATGATTTTGGCTTATGTTTAATTGAGTTAATTGATGACATTCTTTTAAATTTTCTTGGACAGGTAAAGCAATAATTCCTTTATTTTGTAAATCAAGATTTTGAATAGAAGGATTTAAAGGAAAATTACAATTTTTTCCAACATTCATCCATTTAAGAAATAATAATACTAAACTTTGTACACTAAATAAATTCTCATTATACATATCTATAAGACTGACATTTGTTGAAGAGTTATAGCGTTGATTTTTTAATTTATTTTTCATAACTAATAATCTAACAATTGATCTTTGTGAACGTGATTCATTAAATCTTAATCTTCCTGACATACAAATAAGTTCTAAATAATTAAGAAGTTGTTGTGAAAATTCAAATGCAGATGGAATAGTCATAACAAATAATGAAATAATTCTAATAAATATTAAAAAAGAATGAGGAATAGGACAAATTTCTCCATTATTACAAAAAAAGAAATAATTACTTTGTATAAATTCAACAAATATTAATTCTACAAACCCATTATAAGTCCAATAATATTTATCTGTAATAAATTGAATTAATGAAGAATATAATGGTAATTCTGTTTCATTATCTCTTCTTGTTTGAAGCATAATAGATTCTCCAAGTTTAACTTTAACAAATAAAGAGAAAACATTATTAAAGACAATTGATATATATTTAATATATTCATCAAATATTGTAGTTATTTCTTTAAAATTAGTTGTTTCAGTAAATTTCTTTGCACTATCAACAATTTTATTCCAAATAATATTAACTTCATCACTTGTTTTAAGTATCATTGAATCATTCTTTTCTTGTGGACTAAGATAGATCGCATGATATTTTTTTTGAACTTCATCTATTGTTGATAAGAAAAATGATTTTGTTTTATCTACAGTTTTTGATAAACTTAATCTACAAATTGTACAACCATTAGAATGTTTATATAAAAATATACATCCTCTAATATTAGGTAGTTCTTTATTTTCATCAACATTATTTAATTGATATGGAATAACATATTCATTTTCTTCTTCTTTAAATACTTTAAATTCATTTGAATTGATATGAATTCCATTTCTATTTATCTTTTTTTCTCCATAATTTTTAAATGGTATTTCATATGAAATACATTCCACATCATCAATTGGATAATTATCTTCAAATACGCTAGCCATTTGTAATTCATCTCTAAAGTCTTGTAATTGTTGTATACTTTGAAATGCAAATAGAAATAATCGTAAAAGATTATCATACATTCTTACACATACTTTTTTCTCTTTTGTAATATCTTCTTTACTATCAAATGATTTCATTTCCATAATACTTCTTATTGGAATATATGATAATAATAGCAGTCTTGTATTTCTTTGAAAACATTCTTCATCATTTGGAACCCACCAAACACGAAAATTAGTTATATAAATACGTCCACGTTCCCATTCTTTTGTTGAAACATCATTCATTTGTTTATGAAATGTATAAGTTTTATCTGATATAAGAATGTCATCAAATTGTTTAATAATATATTCTCCATAAAGTAGTTTATTATTTAATTGAAATAAATTCATTTTAATATAATTTGTTGGTTTACGTGATTTCAATGAATAAAATATTAATAAAAATGTAAAATCCATATCTAATGATATAGGACTAATTAATGAAAACATAGTCTTCTTAAATACATCTTGAAAATGAACAAATACACTTCCTCTACTATTCATTATTACTAACATAAATCTAAGAGTTCTTATTAAAACATTATATTGTAATGGAGTAAGACAAGTCTGAAGTACTTTATCAAATGATCTAACAAATGAATCATCATCATCCCTCATATGATCATGATAAAATTTGATCATTTCTCCAAATGATGTTTCTGATATAATTTCATCAAATGAACATAAATAATTCCTAATAATTAAAAATGCTACAGTAGAAGCTTGTTTTTTATCCATTGAATTAAATGGTATCAATTTACCATTATGGTGATTATCAATATATTTATACATTTGACGTAAATCACTGTCATCAATTCCTTGATTTTTTAATAACCTTTCTATCCAATAAGTATTAACATTCATTAATGTCTTAAATCATAATAATTAACAAACTTCCAAAATTAGTTATATGGAAATACGCTTTAATTTTCTTTAAGACAGTATCACATTCTACAATTCTGAATTTATATTTTCTTAGATCCTGCATTTTTAATCGTGAAATAGCATTTCCATCCATTTTATACATCTTAACTAAATCAACAAAATTCTTTGACATATTTTCTGATGCCCATAATAACGCAGTGTCATAAGTTAAATATTGTAATGGAACAGGTGGAACTTCTTTTTCTATTTTACTTGATAATTCAAAAAATCGAAATGAATGTTCAACAAACAAAGGAATTCCTTCAATCGTACATTGTTCCCCTTCTGTTTCATTTTCTTTTGTTTTTACAAATAAACAACAACTAGTAGCATTTCTTGTTTGTTCATTAAATGTACATGTACTTTTACTTTTATGAGACGTCCTATTATCGACTTTAGTAATTCCTTTGATATGTTTATTCACTTGTGCTGACATATCTCAATACATTTGTTAGTTTTTTTTTCTTAGTGAAAGATATATTTTATTATATTTTTCTTATTATTATTAGTTTTACCCCTTTAAAGATTATTTTTCTCGTTTTTTTTTTTTTTTAAACTCCATTCACAAAAGAAGAAAATATTTCATCTAAAAAATTTTTGAATCTATTAATAAGAGAGATGACTTAATTGTTGTCTTAAGTCTTCATACCGTTTTGTTAAATCATTAAATTCTTTCAAATGTTTTTCTTTAAGTTGGATAATGTGTTTTTTATCTATTGAGGATGGATCCTTGTTTAATTGTTCAATAAATATTGATTGTATTTCTTTTAACTTTTTAACAGTTTCAGAAAGTTCTAATTGAATTGAATGACGAGTTGGTTTTGATGAAGTAGGAGAAATAGTATGTTTTAATGAATGACGAGAAGAAGATTTAGGTTCTTTTGGAGATTTAGGTTCTTTTTGAGAGTGTTGTACATCTTGGTTATTAGTGATAGATTCTTGTGAGTGTTGAGACTTTTTTTTGTCTTGAGAAGCATGTGTATTTATCACTGTTAATGTTAATTTTTCTTTTTCTTTTCTCAATAGTTCTTCTCTCTTTTGTTTTTCTTTTTGTTTATCTAAATCAGATTGTGTATGTTGTTGAGGTTGTTGAGTTTGACGTGAAAAAGATGATGTTATTGTTTTTGTTAAAGGAATAGATTTTTGTTTTTGTTGTATATAAAATCCAATGATTGATAGTTTATCATAAACAGGAGGAACAACACCTTCTTGAGATTTAAATATTGTCTTTTCATGTGAGTTTAAAGCTGTTAACACAATTTCTTCGTTTGGTAATATTAATTTAATAACATTATTTTCTTTTTTTATCTGAAGATTTCCTTTTCTTATTTTATCTGCGATATCATTTTCTACTTCAAAATGGTAATATTTCTGTGATTCATTTGAAAGTGGCGTAAACATTGGTTTCTCTTTTTTAGTTTTTCTTTTAATTTTTCTTTATTTTTTTCTTATCACTAACATTCTATATTTCTTTTCTTACTACAATTTTTCCGTGTTATAAGACATAATTAAATAAGATATAAAAACACAAAAAAGTTTAGATAAAAAATAATTATAAAATAAATAGCGTAAGGAATAACGAACAGTTAAAGCTCAAAAAGAAATAATACTAAGAAAGGAAGATATTAATTATTTTGAAAAAAACTTAATTATTTAAAAAGAATTTGTTGAATGGGAAAAACAATTAAACGACAAATTAGTTATCATGAAATAAGTGAACAATTAAAGAAAGAAATGATAAATTTTGAAAAAGAATATAAATTAATTCCAACAAAAGGCTCAATTATGAAAACTTATTTAAAAAAATTAGAGAAGGAATTAATTTCTTTACATTCCATTCTCAGTTTACAAATCCCAATTGACAATGTTGAAGACCAAATGAATATACTAACTAATCTTTTTGATATTTGGAGATTATTAATTGATATATTAAGAGGGATAGATCAATTATTATTACCTAATGTATTCTATAAGTTGTTAATTGTAATATTATTAAGGTTTGTATTCTTTCAACAATACTGTATGTTTATCAAAAATATTAATATGAGATTAGGAGTGAGATACAACCACATCATCTTATTATTAATAATCCTGCTATGACTGATTCTAATAAAAGTCAGTTTATTGAAAAAGCAAAAGAAGTTAAATTTTTATTATATGATACGTTCTATACAATGAATAATTTAATGAATGAAAAACAATTAATTCTATATGGCTCAATGGAAATTCGTCTAAAGCCTCTTAAAACAGAAAAAAAAGAAAAGAAAAAAGATATTAAAGATAAAGATTCTAAAGGATTAGATAAAACTCCAGAAAAAAAAAGAAAAAAGGTTGATATTATGATTAAAGACGCATTACCTCAAAGTGCTATTTCACCAAGAGAAGGTAATAAAGAATTTCAACCTTCTCAAATAGGTGATGGAGAAAATGGAGTTGGATCACCACGAGTAATAAATAGAGATGATTTTAATGAAACTTCCCATGATGAAGAAAATTCGTTATTAATGACACTTAATGAACAAAAAAGATTATCTGTATTATCAAAAGTATTAGTAAAACCATTAGAAGAAGTAAGAAAAACAAAAGATGAAAATATGACAAAGAAACAAAAACGTTTATCAGCTCATTTTGGAGTTGAAATTGGAGCAGAAGATCAATTCTTTTTTGAGAATAATGTTTCTCCAATATTTGTTCAGTTCTTTCCACAATATATTGCATACACATTTTTTCAAATACCAGAATTTAGATTAGAATTATTACAATTAATAAGAGATGATAATATTGTTGAATTGGGTTTAAAGAAATGTCAAAATAATGATGAAATGAAAGAAATTAAAAAACAATTTCCAAGAGTATTTGGATTTGATGATATGTTTGATTTATTAGATGAAGATGAAAATAATATACAAGAACAATATTTTTCATTAAAAAAGAATTGGATGGAATTGTTTTTACCAACCAGTGATTTTTTTATGACATTTTTTTATTACTATGGACAATTTGTATATTATTCATTAAAAGGATATGACTTTGAATTATATGGAGAAATATTTGGATTAAAAGAACTTATTGAGGTTTATGTTAAACAACGGATTGAAAAGATTAGTGAACATTCTTCATTATTAATGAGAGAAAATGATAAAAGATGTGTGTTATTACATTATCCTTTTATATTAGATTATATGATTATTAAAATTATTCATAATACCAATGTTTATAATATTGAACAATGTGACTTTATGATTGAGTCATTCACAAAATGGCTAAATACTTTAATTGAACATCAGCGATTTTGTACAACTGATTTTATTCTTGACTCGTTTATTGGAGCATTAGACAAGATATTTGAAACTGACCACTTTCAATTAATTACATCAACTATCATTATGTTATTTAATTCATCTTATTATTTTATTGGAGAGTCAAGAATTAAATTATTTGTTGAATTTCTTACAAAAAAATGGTTCTTTACATTATTTACTCATTGGAATTATTATGTCCGTCAAGCCTTTCATCATTTCATTTTATATAAATTTCTTTTTACAAGAAGGTCCCATCTTAATTGGGCTCGTTTTGATAAAACAGAAGTTGACGTATATAAAAGACAAGCTTCCTTTGGTGTTAATGGTGAAGACATAGATCGGTTTGTTTTAGCTTCTATTGATGAAAAGATAACTTCTATTCGTTTGGTTTGTGATGGAGATACAAATAAATTATTAGTCATGAAGAAGGTCTATTGCCAAGCCGCATTTGCTGAATATGAAAAAGCACTCAAACTCTATAATGATTGGGATAAATCAAAAGCATTAGAAATCCCAAAAATCAAACCAAATTTGAGTGAATTTGATTTTGAGAATCTAAATTGATTAAAAATGTGTATTATTTATCGTTATATATAACAAAAATGAATAAGACAAAAGTAAAACTTTGTAAAACATGAAACAAAATAATCTAAAAAAAGAATGATGTGATTGAAAGAATGAAAATAGAAAAAAAGTTGAACTTAAAATCAAAAATTTGTATTACTATGTCATTACTCAATGAAACCACAACACCAACTAAATTAAGTAAAAAAAAGAAAAGTATTTTCAATTCTGATTGTATCACATTTACACCTATTGGTAGTGGTTCTTCAACACCTCGAAGAGAATCTATTCTTAGTTCATTACCGAATGATGAACTTAAAGAAGTTAGTATCGAAAATGTTATCAGTGAATTATATTTTGATCAATTAACATTAACGACATCAATAGTTCATATCATAAATATCAATTTACCAAAAACACATATTGTATTACATAAATTTATGCATGAATTAAATGAATTAGATAAATATGTTACAGCAGTTTATGGAATAACTGCACCTTATTTACCAAAGAAATCTTTTTATCCATTGCATAATGAAGAAATAACACAATATTTACAAGAAGTTATTTGTCTTGATAAATTTTTTGATTCAATTTATGTAAAAGAATTCTTTCGTGAAAACCATCAAATATCACAGTGTATGTCTTTACATCATCCTCAAATGTCAGGTGTATTAATGAAAGAAGGATATCTTTTAAAACGATGGAAAGAACGTTTTGTAGTAGTAAAAAATTCATATTTATTTTATTTTGTTAGTGAAAAAAGTATGGTAAGACTAGAACAACCACGTTGTATCGTTTCATTATCAGGTGCTATTCTATCGACAAATGGATTAGTTATTAAAATTACTACTAAAGAACGTCAATCCTTTAATTTTTCTTGTACTGATGAGACAACACTTAATCAATGGCTTGTTGCTCTTAATGCAGTTATTTGTTTTAAACCATCCCCACAAAAACAACAAAGAATGACAAAAAAATATACATTACTTGGAGTTGATGAACTTAGCACACCAATACAATCAACTAAAGAAAATAAAACTGTTACTCCTCGAAGAAGTACAGAATTTCTTATTTCAAGAGTAAATTGTTTGAAAGATGAAGCAGATAAAATAATTGAATCGTATGAACATCAACCAGATAAAGAAAGCCTTGTAATGGTATTAAAACAATTTAAACAAATTCAATCAGTAGATTTATCATCTACATCTCTTATTGATTATTATAATAGTAAAATTGTGCAATTTGGAGATGATCCTCTACTTTTTAGGTTTCTTCAAATCTTTAAAGAAATACGTGAATTAAGTGGAATGCGTCCAAATGTACCTAAATTATGTACCTCTCCTTTAGGAAGATACAGTCTTCAACCAAAGTCTTCTTGTTCATCATCACAAACAAGTCCAAGAACCTTAACATCTCAATTTACTACCCAATGTCGGTTATGTAATAATACTTATTATGTTGATGAATTAACTAAACATTCTTATTATTGTAAGTTATGCAATGAAATTTGTCTTAAACAAACGACTTGTAAAACAAGGTTATTGGCTATTGCTGAAGAGATTAATAAACAAAAAAGATATCATAAAGGAAGTATTGAATATTCTGGTCTTGCAGAAAAAGCTTTAAAATGTTCACAAATAGAAGTTATTAATCAAAATAATATTGACTATATGAATGATGCAGAACAATTATTAGAACAAAGTATTAATCAAAAAAGTGATGTTTGTTATAAAACATTCGCACTAATTGTAATTAAATTAATTAAATTAAGAAGACAAATGTTCATTAATATATTAAAAGGTGATTATGGAGAGAATGGTAACATGTGGGAATTTCTTTCTGTTGTTAGTAATGAATTAGTAATTGAAGATCCTCAATCAAAATGGCAACAAGTTGGATTAGATGATTTTGAAGTCATTAAAAAATTTAGTGAAGGAGCATACTCAAAATTATATCTTGTAAAAAAGAAAACTACTGGAGATGTTTATGCAATGAAAGTGAGTAAGAAATCAGATATGAAAAGAAAAAATGTTATTGATGGTGTTTTAGCAGAGAAGAAAATTTTACAATTATCTAATACTAGGAGTGTTGTTAAATTGTATTATGCATTTCAAGATAGTAGTAACTTGTTTCTTGTAATGGAATATTGTCCTGGAGGCGATTTAAGATGTATTTTACGAAATCTTAATTATCTTGAAGAAAGTGTAGTAAGAATATATACTGCTGAAATTATATTAGCATTGGAATATATTCATTCGTTAGGATGTATTCACAGAGACCTTAAACCTGATAATGTGTTAATTGATAAAAATGGTCATTTATTATTAACTGATTTTGGGTTATCAGTTGTTGGGTTATGTAATGAACAACATGGAATTAAAGAGTCTAGATTATTATGTACACCTGACTATGTAGCTCCAGAATCATTAAGAGATTATTATTATTGTCAAGCAAGTGATTATTTTAGTTTAGGGTGTATGGTTTATGAAATGCTTTTAGGAATACCTCCATTTCATTGTGATTCACCAAATCAAATTTTTGAATTAATTAAAGAAGGGATCTATGATTGGCCTGAAGACGTCAATATTAGTGAAGAATGTAAAGACTTTGTTAATGGATTACTTACTGTTGATTATAATCAACGTCTAGGAGCTAAAAGTATAGATGAAATAAAAAATCACAAATGGATGAAACCAATTTCATTTGATAGTTTGTTGAGTGAAAGTAGAGAGGATATATTCGTTCCTGAATTAGAAAATGAATTAGACACAGGTTATTTTGATATTGATGTTGATAGAAACAACACCTTAATTAAAGATGAAGACTGGACTGGAGATAACACATTCTATTCATTTGACTGTGTTAATACTAATCAAGTAATTGACCAAAATATTGAAATTGTTGAAAGAAGAAGTAGTGCAGTTAACCTTTGTGATGACGATGATGAAAGTTCACAAGAAACAACAAGTGAACAAGACGATAACAATAATGATATGACCCGTTCAATGAGTATGTTTAACTTCCATCATAAATAACATACCAAATTTTATTGTTTTATATAACAAAATATTAATAATTATTTTAGTATTTATATTTTTGTTTTTGTTATTAATTAAAAAAAACTAGTAAGTTTATCAATAACTATAAGAAAAATAAAAAAAAAAACAGAAAAAAAGGGAAAAACAAACAATGTCTGTGGTTGAAAGAGAAAGATGGTCATTAGAAGTTGATAAAGCTGTTGACCTTGTTAAGGCTAATTCTCATGAAGGAATTGTACCAAGCCAATACAGTAAAAAGTTAAATGATTCTGTCTTGCAATTAGTACTATCAACAATTGAATTAGTAAAGGTTTTAGGAAAAGATGGAAGTGAAGATATAATCACAAAAACTTTAGACACATTTAGGTCATTGTTATCTGTTGTTAATTTAAATGCAAACAATTCAACATATTCTGTCATTGCTTCAGCATTTCACTTATTTAATTATCTTCATATCTTTAGTCAAATGGATGACTTTCTTTCTTCAGCACAACATCTTATTAAAGAAGACACAACTCGTAGCATGTATTGTATGTACCATTACTATGCTGGAATGACAATGCTTATCAAAAACAAACCAAGTGATGCCCTTATTCATTTAACTGAAGCAATCAATTATATTCCAGCTGATTCACCTAATTACAGAAAAACATTAATTCCATTAATTGTCTTACATTTAAGAAAAGGAGAATATCCCCCTCAACAACTTCTTTCTACTCACCACTTAGAAGAAGAATTTACTAATTTAATTCTTTCAGTCGAAAGAGGTGATGTAGTATTATATGAAAATGAAATAAGAAAGCATGAAGCATTCTTTATTCATCATGGATTATTCTTATTGGTGGAGTCTTTAAAACTTATTGTTTATCGAAATCTCTTTGATTTAGTACAAAAATCTTTAAATACAAATAAAATCCTTTATTCTGCTTTTCAAAATGCCCTTAGTGTGTTTGGTAAAACTTGTTCTGAAACTGAGTTAGAATTTATTGTAGCCAATATGGTTTATAAAGGGTTAATGAAGTGTCAGATCTATCATCAATTTAAAGCATTTGTTCTTCCTCCATCAAATGCTTTCAGTTATTTTGAAGATAAGTGATTGGTTTTTTTGTTTATTTGGTTGTTCTTTTTTTCTCTTTGAAAAATAATGTTCTTCTGAAAAATGGAATTGCAAAAATTAGTGATATTGTCTCATTGCTTCGTATCAATATAACTTCTGAATTAATTTATAAAACTCTTAATTAGAATTACTCTTTAATTTCTATTCTATTTATTTTACTTCTTTTATTAACATTTTTTATTTATCTATTACTGTGTATTTGTTTGAGGTACTATATAAGAGTCAACAAAAAAAAGTTAGATAAAAGCCATTTTATTATTGTTATTGGCGAGAAGTGATTTTTTTTTCATTTTCTTCAATGTGTTTTACTTCTAATTTATAATTATTTTTATATTATATGATAACTAGATTGTTCTTCTTCTAATGTGCTGCCAGAATTTCCTGTGTAAAACATTAAGTCTTTCATAGTTTTGATTATGATTGTTCGTAGGATTTTGGGGAAGTCTAATTTTAATTTCAGTGTTTTTAATCTTCTTACTGACTCTTTGTGTATTAATCCATTTATTGATAATATTACAGGTATTATTTCTACATATATTATTTCTCTATTGTTTCTTAATTTCTCTTGTAAATCTTTATATTTATTTATTTTATGAATATAATTTAATTCTAAATTATTATCCTGATATATAGCAACATCTATAATATATCATTTCTTTTCTGTAATATTTTGATATTATATATCTGGTCTTCTATCATTGAATGCATTGTCACTAACCAATAAATCTTTATTGTAAGTTATTACCATTTCATCATTATTAATACATTTAGGAGGATTACTAAAATCAATTGAATCAAATTCATTAAATAGTGTAATTAATATCTGTTTATATATTTGTTTACATACATAAGAGTATTTGAGATTTAATACTTCCATTCATACTTACTCCTTCTTGCATTTTTACTATTTGGAGAAATGAATTTCTTTTTATATTTAATGACACACATGTTGTTATTGTTAATTTCTTATCATTAAAAGTGCAATTTGCATTTCATATATATTCACCACATTTCTTTCCATTCTTTTAAATATATCTTCTTTGGTACATAATCAATATAAGATTAAAATTATGAAAATAATAATATTTCAGTAAAATCTAAACCGTAATTAATAATACAGATAATATTTACTATTATCATATTAAATAAAACCCAATAAGAAGAATGAAATGGTTAAGAACAATGAGTTATTAATAACTAATCATATCAGATAATTAAAAATATAATGTAACCAAAATAAAAATTAATTTAATCAAACAATTTTAAAGATAACTTAAAGAAATTATTGATAATTAAAACTAACCTTATATTTTTCCATAAAATGAATCAATTATATTTTTTTTGAATTAAATAATATTTTCATGACTACCTTTTAAAATGAAGTGGTTATTTGGAATGACACCTTTTCATCATATTCTTTATATAATAATGGGTATGTAAAATTAAATTCAATATTATTTAAAGAAACCCCAACTCCACAACTAGAATTAATACAATCAAAACACTTTTTTCCTTGTACTTTTGCAAATGATAATAATCCAAAATTTAGATATCCAAAGATACTAGTATTTATTCCAATTGGAAGTCTATAATGAACCATTTCTTGAAACGTTGCAATAAAATCTCCTCCTAAATGTTTTTCTTTTTTGTCTCCATGACATCCTCTATTTCTAAATCCTCTTAATTCATTTCCTCCTAAATAATAATATTCTGACATTCTAACCCACTTTGGACTTATCTATTCTTTAATTTTTTTTCTTTTAGTCTTACATTTATCTTAATTAAATATATAATTATACTATTAACAAACAATCATTCCAACATGCATTTGGCTTGTTAACCAACATCTTTTCCATTCATCTGTAATAAATTTCATTATTATGTTTGGCTTCATAAATAAATTCTCATTATATACTCCAATCATATTTTTAATTAAATACTCTAAGTGAATCCATTTCTTCTTCTTCTTTCCTTTTAGTGTTGTTTCAATACTATATTCCATCTTATTACTTCCATCAATTATTTCATGTGGAATTCCTTCTAAACTATTATCTGCTTTTGCTGTAGTTTTATTACACCTTTCTCTAAATGTAACACTCAAGTATTTTCTCTGGTATTTAATTTCTGTACACATATTATTCTCTTCATGAACAAATGGAAATGTTTCTTCATATTCTTCATGACAAATACCCATTGAAAACAAATGCATCTCTTTATTAAAATAATAAGGAATTCCTATATTAAATGATGGTTTAGGTATTGTCAATTTTCCTCCTTGCATTCTTGTTGTCATTGCAATTTCTCCATGTATTCCACTTTCTAAATAATTATTAATTTCACCTATTCCTGATATTTCAATATTATTTGATTGGTCTATAGAAGTTCCTATTTTCATAGTTATTGGTTTACTTATTTCATATTCTTTACCTCTTAATGCAACTGACTTCTTTTTCATTTGGATTATTTTTAATTCTTCTAATCTTTTAATAACCTCTTCTTCATCACAGCTTTTAAATAATTCATAGAAATGTCTTTGTGTTGTACTTGGTATTTCTTTCATTTCTTTATCATTTATTTGTTCTTCTTGTTTATTCAATACTTTGTTATACATAACATTTAATTAAAAATATCAAAAATACATGGTGCCACATAAATGATTATTAATGACTTTTTTATGAAAAAATGAAAAAAACCCTAAAAAAAAGATTGAACTTCATCTTACGAGAAAAGAATTATGTCAGCAAAAGATCTCATCCTTTCTAGTCTTGAAAAAGAACCACAAATTGAATCAGCTTATGAGTTTGCTGAAAAAAATAAACTTGCATATGACAACAGTTTTATTGGTGCAATTAGATCACTTGATGCTGCTGGTATTATTATTTCAGAGATGAAGAAAGTAACTAAACAAACTGTTTCAGCAAATGCTGAAGATGTATTAAAGAATGGGTCAGAAGAATTTAGATTATTTAATTTAATTAAAAAAGAAGGAACACCTAAAGCTGAAGTTGAACATTTACCATTTTACAGAACTGGATTTGCTGAGGCAATGAAATTAAAATTAATAAAGATTAATGGACCTAATTTAATTAGGATTGTTGATACTTTTGAAGATTCAATTCAAAAATCACTTAAAGAAGTTCTTGGTGGAAGAGTTGCTACAAAGAATGAAGAGGTTATTTTCAAAAGAAGAAAGTTTTTAAGACAAGAGACTATTACTGATTATGTATTAAAACAAGGACCTTCTTTTAATAAAAGATCTAAACCAGTTGCTAATTTAACTGCAGAAATGTTATTAAATGGAAGTTGGAAAGATGCAAATTGGAAGGAATATAATTTTAATGCACTTGGAGTATATCCAAAAGGAGGTTCAAGACATCAGTTATCAAAAGTTAGAATGAATTTCAAAAATATATTCTTAGAAATGGGTTTTGAAGAAATGAAAACTGATATGTATGTTGAAAGTTCATTTTGGAATTTTGATTCTTTATATCAACCACAACAACATCCAGCACGTGATGCCCAAGACACATTCTTCTTAAGTGAACCAGCAACAACATCATCAGCTGATATGAATCCTGATTATGTTGCAAAAGTTAAGAAGGTTCATACAACTGGTGATTTTGGATCAATTGGATGGAGATCTGATTGGAAAGTTGAAGAAGCTCAAAAAACTATTTTAAGAACACACACAACAGCTGTTAGCAGCAGAACACTTGCTAAATTAGCTGCTGATGCTATTGCTAAAGGAGAACCATTCAAACCAATAAAATGTTTTTCTATTGATAGAGTTTTCAGAAATGAAACTGTAGATCAAACTCACTTGGCTGAATTCCATCAAATTGAAGGATTTATTGCTGATAGAAATATTGGATTACCTCAATTAATTGCTGTTATTAGAGAATTCTTCACTAAGATGGGATTGCCTGATGTTAGATTTAAACCAGCATACAATCCATATACTGAACCATCAATGGAAATATTTGCTTATCATCCTGGATTAGGAAAATTTGTTGAAGTTGGTAATTCAGGTGTGTTTAGACCAGAAATGTTAAGAACAATGGGAGTACCAGAAGATATTACTGTTATCGCTTGGGGATTTGGTTTAGAAAGACCAACTATGATTTCTTATGGTATTAAATCTATCAGATCAATTTTCGGTCCAAAAACCGATTTAGACTTCATTAAGAATAGTGAAATTTGCACTTATGGTATCTAATCATTAACGAGTATTTCGTTAATTTAAATTTTTTTAATATTTTTCTCAAAATGTAACGTGTGTTTTATTATGTAAGTTAAAATAAAATATAATACACTTGTTTCATTAACTATAAGAAGTGATGAAGAGAATAAAGAAATAAAAGAACAAGATGAAATAACAAATAAAACAAGTAATAATGAAAAACAATAAACAAAATGATGAAATGAAATTTTAATTAATTTTCTTATTCTTCTTTTTGTGTTTTATGTTTTTCTTCATTATCTGATGGAGATGTGGTTGTTATTTCTTGTGCTAATTTGATGACTATCTTTTCTTCACTTGTTCTTTCCCATTTTCTTCTTTTCCACCATGGAATGATATACTTTTCAATGACTATTACAACACCTATAATTCCTCCTCCAATCCCAATCATCCACATCAAATATTTCAATCCTGAATAAACAACTACCTCTTTACTCATCATCTCTTGAACTTCTTCTTCTTTCAACCCTTTTCCAATTAAAAATTGTAGTTTTGTATCATATGACAACTTTTGTACTTCACTATTCTGTAAAAATTTCTTCACTCGCTCTTTCATTTCTTCTTTCTCTTCCATTTCGTTTCTTTTTCTTTATAAAGTAATATTATTAATAAAAAAGAAAAAACCCAAAACTAAATTTATAATAAATCTTCAGAAGAATCTCCCTTAGATGATACTCCAAGTTCAATTCCAAAGTCTGTGTGTTGACTCAGACTGGAATGTGATGAATTATCTACTAATTGAAGGAGTTGTAGTGAATTTTTAGTAGAACTTTCTCTGAGAGATTCATTAAGACTTTCTATACTATCACTTCTTGATAATGATTGTTGGGTTAATGTAATAGGTTGATGACTAGGGCGATGAGATTTTTGAGAAGACTTCTTTTTTCTATCTTGTTTTCTGAAGAGAATAACTTCCCATTTTTTAAACAAACGTTTCTTTTCAGTTTCTAAGTTCATTCTTAAATCATAACTAAGAGAAAAGGTATTAATTTGAGAAGAGGTGGTTGGAGAAAGTGATAATGGTTTTAAGAACATATTAAAAGGGATTGTTATAAGGTCTTCTGGTGACCCATCCATAACTTCAAGAGTAAATACTTTTGTTTCAATTACTTCTTGTTCAAAACGTTCTTTACGAATAAGAACAAGATTTACTTGTTCAATAGGATTTTCAAGATTAACCTCCTCAAATAAAATCTTTCCTTTTATAATTCCTTTTGTATCAAACACGTTTGAATTGATTTCTACTTTAAGTTTAAGGTTTGGTTGAGTTATTTCATCAACTATGGGATTACCTTTTATACCAGAAGAATATGTTTTAATAAAAAGGTCAACAATCCCAATAGGAGGTATTTGAATTATTTGCGATATCTTTGAACTTTTTAGAAATTCAGCTTTTAAGCAATAAGATATTTGAATGTTATTACTTAGGTAACTGTCGAAAGGAGCGTTGAGAGTTAAATTAAATGGAAAATTTGTTGCATCTTCTATTTTGCCTGGGGGTGTAAGAAGTGATGTTTGTGTATGAAATTGAATTACTTTACCTCTTTCATCTATTTGATAAGATTATATAAAATATCAAGAAGTAAAACAAACGGTTTGTACCAATAAAAAGTAATTGTAAACCAGAATGAATGAATGGTTTAGAAGGTTTAGAAATATAAACTGTTCCAGATATTTTTTCGTTTTTTGAAAGAGTAATGAGAGTTTTTTTTTCATTTTTGTTTCTAAGCGTTGTCTTTGGATATGATAATTCTTTGTTTAAATGAATAGTAACATCCATATGCTAAGAGTAAATTGTAACAAAAGATAAAAGGAATTTTTGTATTTTCATAGAACGCAAAAAATAAAAAAAGGAATTTTTCGAAAAACAAAAAGAAAATCACAATATTTTTTGTATTGAAAAATTTGTCAAAGAGAGTATGAAGTATAACATAAAAACCCTCACACGTAAGCTAATCAAAAGAAAAAATAAGAAAGGGAACAAGAAATGATTAGATAGAGATGCAAGATAGAATAGACACTATCTTTAAAACTAATGAATCAGGTATTAAAGCAAGTACTGAAGATAAAAGAAAGAAAGCTATTGATTCTATCATTACATTTAGTAAAGAAATTAAAAATGAAGAAGATAAGAAATATTTTTTAAATAAAATATTGACAGTCTACAAAAAGACATGTAGTGCAATTTATATGAAAATTGTTATTTCTAAAATTTTAAATGGATTAGAAACTACTTTTTGTACAAAAGAGCTTTCACAAGAATTTACTGAAAAATTTACAACAATCTTTTTAGGAGAGACTAATGATGAGTTACGTAAATTTTTATTTGGATTTGTTGCACATTTAATTCAATACAATGAAATTATTCCAACCAAAATTCAACAAATGATTCAATCATTAAATACATTAAAAGAACCATTAAAATCAATTTTTATAGCAGAACTTCCTAAAATGTTAGGATTACCTGATACTTCAAAATTAGCTCAAGTTAATTTAACAGGATATTTTGCATCAGAAATTAATTTAGTAAAGTCTCCAAAAAATACACCAAAAACAACTATTATTGCATTTAGGTATTTATTAGCATATTACAGACAACCAGAAGTAAAACAATGTGAAGTATTAGAAAGTCAATTATTCTCTTCATTTGCAAAAGCTCTTAAAGTTTATTCTTCACCTGAATTTTTAGCTTTAATTCAAGAAGATGGATATAAACATCAATTGAGTGAATTACTTTTTGATGTTTGTCATTTAAATTGTATTCCAAATATTTGTGAATGTGAAGAAGATATTAAAAAGATTTTACCATTTTTACTTGACAGAAGAAATATTAAAAAATTTTTTAAAAGTACATCAACTACATCAATGTCTTCATTATTGATTCATCTTGTTTTTGATAGTATAATGAAAGATAAAAAAGCTGTATTTGATAAATTAGTTATTGGTAATATTTGTAATTTAATGAATTCATTTGTTTCAGAGAAAGTTGATGAAGCTGAAATTCCATTGTTATTTATTATTTCATCAGTTCTTCCACCAAAAAGAAAATTATTCAATAAGTTTGTGTTTAAAATTGTTCATCCAACAACAAAAAGTTTTGAAATAGTAAAACAATTTGTTATTGGTAATTTTGATTTAATATTTAATAAAATTATGGAATTACTTCAAACTAATTATACAAATAAATATTTACTTCATTCATATTATAAATTACTTTGGTTTGTTCAAAAGTTTAATGATGAAAGAGAAACTGGACATGAAATTGTTGTTAAATTCTGCCAAGAAATAGAAAAAATGAATGAGACAAGTAAATTCTTCTGTAAATTATTTATAGATACTATTAAGAAGAATGTTAATTTATTTGAAAAAGAAGTTTTGTATATTGTTAGATGTTGTAATGAAATTAGTAATAAAAAAGATAAAGAAACTGCATTAACAATTTTACTTGCTATTAGTAATTGTTTAGATACTATTGTTTTAGCATATAAAGAAAAATTAGTTTATTCATATTTCTTATTAAATGAAGGTCTTGGAGAAGATGAAAAACAAGAAAGAGTTATTTATGATAATGTTAAAGAAATTTTATCTTCTTTATCAGAAGAATTAGAACAACCATTAAATTCAGCAACATTTTGTTTATTAATGCCAATCTTTAGATGGGTCATTTCTAAAAAAGATAAAACAACAGAAATTGTTAAACCACAAAATCAGACAATGAAATTATTACAAATGCATTGTGAAGAAATAACAAATCAATACCCAATTTTAGAGATTGCACAACTTTTAAATAGTATTATTTTAGTTATTCCTCGTTTTGTTCAAAAGACATTAACCTGTTTAGAACAAATTGTTAAAGTTTCAGATAATAAAACACTTCAATATTTCTTTAATAACTTATTAAGTGAAGAAGAAAATACTAGAAGATATAATGCTGTTGCTTTAGATAGAAGTAAAGCATATTTGAGAGCTAAAAAAATTGATCATGAAGAGTTATGTAAATTATATCTTGGAGGACATGATCAAATTAAAGATGTTTCTAACGCATGTAGATCAGTTATGAAAACTATTCATTTGTATTGTGAAGAACCTGGTGTTGAAGTAAAAATTCCAGAAGATTTCAGAATTCCAGACCAAAGTTTTGTTGAATATTATAAAAAAGATGAAATTTGCTTAAATGAAAATATTGATATTCAAGACATGATTGCTACTTCCATTTATTCTATTGCTAAGATTGGAAAATATAATTGTGGAGAATTATTGAAAGTTACAATGAATGAGTATGACAACAGTTTCCCAGATATTACTTTAGTACCAGGTATTGCTAAAGATTATCTTATTATCAGAAGTAAATTCTTAAGAAGAAGATTTTGCACATTTGTAATTATGAAATTAGGAGGATTATGTTCTGTGGAAGACATGAAAGAATTACTTCCATTTGCTATTAAGAAACTTACTAATGATGAAGAGCCAATTCCAGAATTAGTTGAAGAACAAGGAGAAAATATGTTCGCCAGTAGAAGTAGAGAAGAAGCTGAGCAAATTTATGATATTTTAGTAAGTATTAAAAAAGAAAAAGGAAAGAAGAATGATAAAGAAATAGAAATGGTTGGATTATTCTTTGGAATGATTGCTAAATATTTGGAACGAGATAATCCTAAGTTCAATGATATTATTCAACAATTAAGAGATTTATCAGTTAAACCATCTTTAGAAGTTCAAATGGCAGTTTGTAATTGTTTTGCAAATATTACAGATATTCCCAATGTTCAAGGTATGTTAGAAAAGATGTATGCTCAATGTTTAAGACAAAAGAATTTTGAAATTAAAAGGGGAATTGCATATTCAATTGCTGGGATTTGCAAGGCACATGGATTAGGAGTTATGTTTACATGTAAATTTTATGATAGATTTATTAAGAGACCATTAGAAAAATTTGATGTTGATAAAAAAGGAAAAAGATGTACTGAAGGAGAAAATTTAAATATTAATATGACAGCCTTAATTTCATTACAATGTATTTGTGAAATTATGGGAGATATTTTTGAACCTTATATCATTGATATATTTAATTTAGTTAGACCTATTGTTAGTGAGGCAAATCAAGAATTAAGACTACAGGCTTCTGCTACTGTTAGGTCTATGAGTTCTGTTTTAACTCATCACGGTATTGGAGTTACAGTACCTCATTTAATCGATGGATTGAAATCAAATGAATGGAGAGAACGAAGAATTTCTTGTTTGTTATTAGGAGAAATGGCTAAACAAACAACTCATCAACTTGATGCTTATTTACCAAAGATTATAACTCCATTAGTTAATTTGATGATTGATTCTGATGCTAACGTTAGTGAAGCAGCCAGTGAAGCATTAAATAATTTAGCTAGTGTTATTAAGAATCCTGAAATTTCATCACTTATCCCATCTATTCTTGATGCCTTAGAAAATCCACCACAAAACACACCAGAATTTTATGAACACTTTGAAAAGATGCAATTTACTCACTTGATTGATTCTAGTTCTCTTGCATTAATTCATTACATTTTATTAAGAGGATTA